GATCTACAATGCGGTTTCCAAGAGCCGCAAAACTACCGGAGATTGATGATATTGAAGAATCAGACAGTGAAAATGAAGACGCTGCTGGAGCTGACGCCAATAACAGCGACCACATTGAGGCTGCGTTATCATCTGACGAAGACCTGGAGCTTCTGTACGACACCTCGTTCGAGAATGAGGAGGACGAGCGTAAGGAGACGCTGCGGATAGCGTGTCGTCAATTCAAAGAAGCCTGTTCAAGTTTTGATTCCGTTGCGGTGATTATGATTGACAAAGACTTTACGGAGCTATCCGTGTTGAAGGAGGAGTTTCCGAGTGCGCGCATCTTACTCTATCCTTTTCATGTCGTGAAGTACTTGCAAGAGGAAGTGGCAAAAGAAAAGTACAACTTGGATGCTTGGACCAAAAAGGAGATGAAACGATTGATACAACTTTTGGTGAGCGCACCAACAGAAGTGGTCTACGACAATGTGATTACCGCGATGAAGGTAGTGATACGTACAGAAGAGAAACAGCAGCTGTGGTTTCGGTATTTCGACGCTAACTGGACGGAGTGCAAAGAGAGATGGAGCTCCGTCTACCGCGGTAATGTGCCGCATATGGGGAATCACACGAATAATAGGTGCGTTTAGTCAAGTTGTGTCACCAAGTACGTGCGAAGCAACTTGGTTTATTTTCGTAGACTCGAGTCAAGCTGGCAAAAACTGAAGACTTTGGTGAATCGGTCAACTTCTCTCGATGACTGTGTGGTTTCAATTTTATTTTGGCAGACTGTTAACGAGAAGATGTGGTCACGGAATGTGAATCGGATTGGCGTCTACGTGAATGCAAAGTACGACCGAGAGATGAACCTACTTTTGAACACTACTTCTCGCCATGCCGTGGAGCTCGTCAAGCAGCAATATGACTTTGCCTGTCTGTCGACCACGGAGTACAAATACTACCCTCTGGGACCCTATGTGATGCTGCAGTACACGGCGTGTACGGACGAAGATCTGCCAGATGAGTACATGGTTAACCCGGACGATTGGACGTGCTCGTGCGTTTTTAGCGTTACTCGATTGCTACCGTGCCGCCATATCATCTACTACCGCAAAGCAACCGTTTGCGGACAGGAGTGTTTGTACGAACCGAAT